CGATTTAAATGAAATTCACTGCACGAAGGGAACTTAGTTTTTCCTATAAAATGCGGCCAAACCCACCGTTCAGACTGCTCTTGTTTCTACGTAACAAATTTTTGAAAATTGACTTTGAACCGAAGTCGAATGTCGCAAACCTTGCAACATCAGTCTAAACGTATCATGTAAATTCATCAAACTGGAGGAATTAAAGGAAATTCATACCATGTAGAAAACATAGTTTTTCCTATAAAATGACGCAAAAACCAATATTCAAAATGCTCTGGTTTTTAGGTAATGCATTTTTGAATATTGACTTTGACCCGAAGTCGAATGTCGCAAACCTTGCAACACCAGTCTTAAAGAATCATGTAAATTCATCAAACTGGAGGAATTAAAGCAAATTCATAGCATGTAGAAAACATAGTTTTTCCAATAAAATGACGCAAAAATCAACGTTGAAACTGCTCTTGTTTCTACGTAGCAAACTTTTAAAAATTGACTTTCAACCGCTGGCTCGAATAAAGGCTCGAATGAAGCGAACCCTGCAACATCAGTCTTGACGAATCGTTGAAATTCAACCAATCAATCGATTTAAGGCGGATTCAACACACGTAAACAAAAGAGTTTTTTGTATAAATGGACGCAAAAATCACCATCCTAGCGACTTAATTCCAACCAACAAATTCGTAAACATAGACAATAAATCTAGACATTTGATCATCTTCGTATTGAACAACGACTAACGTAAAACAACAATTAGCCATTCTAATGAAATTAAATCATTGTGAAGAATTCACACACAGAACCTGAGGGTTGAATGCTTCCGCTTCATCCCCCTACTTGTGCATCAACGAATGCATACCCATCCTTGTGCCGAAATCGAAATTGCTTTTCCCGGATGCCGACCATCAGGCCCGTAATAATTAATTAATTAACATCCGTAAATCATTGGATGGCTGGGCCCCATAAAACATGCAATTTTCACACACTAGAATAGAGGCTCTCGAACAAGCCCATCGAAACTAGAGAGCGGCAGTGTGTCACAATTACACCGAATTCGGTTTTTGCCCGGTACATTGCGGCTTAAACTGTATCGTTCACAACCACCAAAATGGGGCCCCTTTAAACAATGAATTGGTGTCATGCAGCAAAATGAACATTGGAACAATCATAGTTTTTGGATTAATTTGGGGCATTTTTCTTACTAATTGCTTGGGCAAAGAAACTCTTCAGTGGCCCAATTAAAGCGCCGAATCCCACAGTAATTACCGGGATTTAATTAGACCATGGGCAAATATTCTGGACGCGGATCTGCGCCCAGTCGGTCGTTCCGTCTCCTTAAAAGGGCTCTTTTAACATAATTTCCCTGCTCTCTTTTACCTTTTCGCGTCTAGTAACGATGTAATTTTCCACACAGTGTAATCTCTTACGCCCTATTAAGGTTGTTGATGCCGTCGGTGGAAATTTTAAGCCGCTACATTGCCGCCATGTTTATTATTTAGCCTCTGGCGCTCTTTTGTGTCGCATGATAAATAGACTCAGCGCCCACAAACTGACGCCTTAAAAGCCGCCCCTTTTTTCGCCTGTCCAAAAAACGCAAATGCATTTCGTTAAGAATGCCCTGGATG